CGCCACGGATCAGACGTTGATTCTGTCCGTGACTTTTGACGACTTGGTTCAGACGTTAATTCTGTCCTTTACTTTTGACGCCTTGGTTCAGACGTTGATTTTGTCCTTTCCTGTTGACACCTTTGTTCAGACGTTTAATATGTCACGACCTGTTGACGCCTTGGTTTAGCCGTTGATTCAGACGTTGATTCTGTCCTTGCCTGTTGACGCCGTGGTTCAGACGTTGATTCTGTCCTTGCCTGTTGACGCCGTCGTTCAGACGTTGATTCTGTCCTTGCCTGTTGACGCCATGGTTCAGACGTTAATTACATGTATGTTCTTGTCTGTTGACGCCTTGGGTCAGACGTTGATTCTGTCCTTGCCTGTTGACGCCGTGGTTCAGACGTTAATTACATGTATGTCCTTGCCTGTTGACGCCGTGGTTCAGACGTTTATTCTGTCCTTGCATGTTGACGCCGTGGTTCAGACGTTAATTACATGTATGTTCTTGCCTGCTGACGCCTTGGTTCAGACGTTAATTACATTTGTGTTCTTGCCTGTAGACGCCGTGATTCAGACGTTTATTCTGTCACGGCCTGTTGACGCCGTGGTTCAGACTTTAATTACATGTATGTTCTTGCCTGCTGACGCCTTGGTTCAGACGTTGATTCTGGCCTTGCCTGTTGACGCCGTGGGTCAGACGTTGATTCTGTCCTTGCTTGTTGATGCCGTGGTTCAGACGTTGATTCTGTCCTTGCCTGTTGACGCCTTGGTTCAGACGTTAATTACATGTGTGTTCTTGCCTGTAGACGCCGTGGTTCAGACGTTTATTCTGTCACGACCTGTTGACGCCGTGGTTCAGACGTTGATTCTGTCCTTGCCTGTTGACACCGAGGTTCATACGTTGATTCTGTTCTTGCCTGTAGACGCCGTGGTTCAGACGTTGATTCTGTCACGACCTGTTGACACCGAGGTTCATACGTTGATTCTGTTCTTGCCTGTAGACGCCGTGTTTCAGACGTTTATTCTGTCACGAACTGTTGACGCCGTGGTTCAGACGTTTATTCTGTCACGACCTGTTGACACCGAGGTTCATACGTTGATTCTGTTCTTGCCTGTAGACGCCGTGGTTCAGACGTTTATTCTGTCATGACCTGTAGACGCCGTGGTTCAGACGTTTATTCTGCCACCACCTGTTGACGCCGTGGTTCAGACGTTTATTCTGTCACGACCTGTAGACGCCGTGGTTCAGACGTTTATTCTGTCACGACCTGTTGACACCGAGGTTCAGACGTTGATTCTGTTCTTGCCTGTAGACGCCGTGGTTCAGACGTTGATTCTGTCACGACCTGTTGACGCCGTGGTTCAGACGTTGATTCTGTCCTTGCCTGTTGACGCCGTGGTTCAGACGTTGATTCTGTCACGGCCTGTTGACGCCGTGGTTCAGACGTTTATTCTGTCACGACCTGTTGATGCCGTGGTTCAGACGTTGATTCTGTCCTTGCCTGTTGACACCGTGGTTCAGACGATTATTCTGCCACCACCTGTTGACGCCGTGGTTCAGACGTTAATTACATGTATGTCCTTGCCTGTTGACGCCGTGGTTCAGACGTTGATTCTGTATTTGCCTGAAGACGCCGTGGTTCAGACGTTTATTCTGTCACGGCCTGTTGACGCCGTGGTTCAGACGTTTATTCTGTCACGGCCTGTTGACGCCGTGGTTCAGACGTTTATTCGTTCACGACCTGTTGACGCCGTGGTTCAGACGTTTATTCTGTCCCGACCTGTTGACGCCGTGGTTCAGACGTTTATTCTGTCCTTGCCTGTTGACACCGAGGTTCAGATGTTTATTCTGTCACGACCTGTTGACGCCGTGGATCAGACGTTGATTCTGTCCTTGCCTGTTGACACCGTGGTTCAGACGTTTATTCTGTCACCACCTGTAGACGCCGTGGTTCAGACGTTTATTTTGCCACCACCTGTTGACACCGAGGTTCAGACTTTTATTCTGTCACGACCTGTAGACACCGTGGGTCAGACGTTTATTCTGTCACGACCTGTAGACGCCGTGGATCAGACGTTTATTCTGCCACCACCTGTTGACGCCGTGGTTCAGACGTTTATTCTGTCCTTGCCTGTTGACGCCGTGGTTCAGACGTTTATTCTGCCACAACCTGTTGACACCGAGGTTCAGACGTTTATTCTGTCACGACCTGTAGACACCGTGGTTCAGACGTTTATTCTGTCACGACCTGTAGACGCCGTGGTTCAGACGTTTATTCTGCCACCACCTGTTGACACCGAGGTTCAGACGTTGATTAGGTTCTTGCCTGTTGACGCCGTGGCTCCGTGTTGATGCCGTGGTTCAGAAAAATTAAACCAGCTTAATATTGAGAAAATTAAAAAATACGCCCAAAATATTGAAAAGCTTTTGTCATTATTAAATGTTTTCAACTTCATCCATTGTTCAGTGTCTTTTCATTTCTCCTACATATATGTTAACTTTTAAGTTGATGCCATCTTCGGTGTTGTTGGCGTCTTTCCGTATATTGACTTCTGTCTGTGTTTACTACTTGTCTTTGCCAATTCATAATTAATGTGGAATAACTCCAACACTATTTAGATATGCCATCTCAGGTAAATAGGCTTTTTATGGAAGATGCATTTATACTGTCGAGGAATAAAAAAAAAATCCAAAAAGAATTAATCAATTTGAGATTAGACATTATGAAAGAAGCCATTTGGTAAGTAAACTTATGTCGTGCTAGCTTCCTTTCAGTCATAGGTCTGTAAACCTGCCGTGTCATAAAAACCGTTTAGACCCCTTTAGGCCAATTCAAATGTACATTTCCAAGTGTGTTTTACTAATGTTAAATTATCACTGGAAATACGAAGATATTGTGACACCCTTTATAAAGTCGCAACTTTAGGTTACAGAAGATGAATTATAAGTTGCATTAAAGGAAAACCCTGCCAGAACAAATACCAGATACAGACCATTGTCCGTTTTTCTGGTCCTTTTTAACGCAAACGCACCAGAAACACAATACGGACGCAACGAAAACATAACGAAGAAAAACGGTCCAGGGACTGTATAAGGATGCATTCAAACCCTCGAGAACTGTTAATTAACTTGAAAAGTCAGCCACACGGTCGAGTAAAATTATTACTAGAATTACATTTGGAATTTTTCTTTATATGCATTATCCTTAATTTTACCAGTATATCCAAAAGGAACATAAACGAAGTTACAAAGGTACAAGGGAGAGCCATAAAACAGATATACCAGGAATGAAAGACCGAAGTTAGCAAGAAGGGTAAAGGATTCTAAAAATACCAACTTTAAAACATAGGAGATTACGAGGAGATGTGAAACACGTTTATAATCATGGATACTGCATGTACATGTATGACACTTCTGTAACGGAAGGTTTTGTTTTAATAAACGAAAACAAACGAGCAAGAGGGCATAGTCTTCGACTTGACAAAGGAATGTCTGAATTGAATTTAAGGAAGTACTCCTTTAAAGAAAGAGTAGTCAACCATTGGAATTCCCTGCCAAATCACGTCGTCACATCACCAACAATAAAATCGTTTGAAGCCCGGCTCGATAAGCACTGGGGATAACCAGAATATGTTTATAATCATGAACTCGACAATAATGAACCTATCCACTGTCGGGGCTTCAGTCTAGAGACTTACCATACATATGATCTTTTATTATGTTATTTTTATGATTATTTCTTTCAATTAAGAATCACCAATGGTACCAAAATACAAGGCTTGTGACAAACACAATTTGTCAATTGTTTTTCAGTGGTAATTTATGACTTAATTTTTGTATACATTTCGTCGTCGAGTGTCCATTTACTGCATTGCTGAACAGTGAATCGATTATAACACGAGTATATGTTATAGAATCGTGTTCCACATACTCATTGTAATAAGGCAATATGTTATTACCATCTGATGATCACATGTATATTGATCAATTATTCATTCTTGGTTTTTCACTGCATACTAATCCATTAACCCTTTCCATATCCCCGCATTTATTATGTTGTTCATATAACCTCATTCCCGTACATGTAGCTAGTGTTGAAATAATTGAGTATGAAGCAGGTAGCTAATTGACATTAGTGTCATGACACTTGCCTTTATTTCCTTTTCTATTTCACAAAATGTAATGTATAATTTGTATTGTATATATGAATAAAACAACGTTCAAACTAAGGTTAAGGAATACAAATCAGTGTTTAAAGCGTTCCGAAACATAAGCAAAACGAATAAGTGAAAATGAAAAGAACATAGAAAGTCAGCACAGGTACTATTATTTATCATCAGATAAATGTGTTATATAATATTTTTCAATCAGGTTTTGGTTTATTGTAGAAGGGAAAATGTGCATGAAAAACAAATTAACACCAATGCTACTTCCAAAAAAGTGTGAAATATTCCAATACAAATATTATTCTATGAAATGTGTTGAAAAAATTACAATTAAATCTTACAGGAAGTAATTTAGATATGCAAAAAAAGATTTATAAACTACATGCTGTGAGATTTTTGCTGATATAACTGATGTATAAAACGCATCAATTCATCGCGGTAAACGAACGACCCATTGGCTAAACACTGATGTTTAAATTGTTTCATTGCAGTATCAACAGTAGGGGCAAACCGAACCGTCCTTTTAATTAAAAACTGCTCAGAAAACAAGTAAACGTTCAAATGTGTATAGATTATGGGAACCCATTCAATATTTATCAGCTCAATGTAGGGGGCGTGGTTAAAGAGCATGGCACGCGCTAAATGTCTGTCAACCACGAGTAATCACAGGTTGGACATGGTCTGGGGTTGGTGGGATCAATAACGCGGCGTTTTGATTGGTCGCGAGAAGGTCCTATGGCCTCGTGCCGTGAAATTGACACATTGTTGTATTTGCCAATGTTTTGATATTTAATTCAATAATAAATACCACCTGTTTAATATTGTACCTGTCATAACAACGTCCACAGCCGGTAAACGCACACGCGAGCTACGTTTCACACGTGCGCACACTCAAATCTACAATTTACTGTGAAATGGAATGAATATTACATTGAGTGAATGAACCGATATAAAACAGAACACGCTCTTTAGAGTCGAGGACTCTCCATCTATAATCTGGAGAAGAAAAAGACAGAAAAAATGGATTTATGCGTGCGACGAAAATCCTCATATGACATTGACAGTTTGATAGGGAAGAACAAAAAGGAGAAACAAGTATCAAAAAGTGGTGAGTATTTTTAATTTTTGTTTGGTTTAGCAGTGATTTCTATAAATCAAGTTTTATCAATCTTAGCAATGATGATTTTTGTTCATATATGGTGCATACATCGTTACATCATTGAATAGCTTCAAATATTTATCACTAATTCGAAAAAAGTATGTTTACTTCGAGTGATACAAAAGTTGACCTTGATAAGGAATATGACTAACTTCTAGTTATATTACTGGAATACCATGTCAAACAATGCGTTCTACTTCTAGTCATATCACTGGAATACCGTGTCAAACAATGCGTTCTACTTCTAGTTATATCACTGGAACACCGTGTCAAACAATGCGTTCTACTTCTAGTCATACCACTGGAATACCGTGTCAAACAATGCGTTCTACTTCTAGTTATATAACTGGAATACCGTGTCAAACAATGCGTTCTACTTCTAGTTTTATCACTGGAATACCATGTCAAACAATGCGTTCTACTTCTAGTCATACCACTGGAATACCGTGTCAAACAATGCGTTCTACTTCTAGTTATATAACTGGAATACCGTGTCAAACAATGCGTTCTACCTCTAGCTATATAACTGGAATACCGTGTCAAACAATACGTTCTACTTCTAGTCATATCACTGGAATACCGTGTCAAACAATGCGTTCTACTTCTAGTTATATTACTGGAATACCGTGTCAAACAATGCGTTCTACTTTTAGTTATATTACTGGAATACCGTGTCAAACAATGCGTTCTACTTCTAGTCATATCACTGGAATACCGTGTCAAACAATGCGTTCTACTTCTAGTTATATAACTGGAATACCGTGTCAAACAATGCGTTCTACTTCTAGTTATATCAAAAAGTTAAGCCTAACATTGTATATTTTAACCTCTAGTATATATTACCGTATATGTGTCTTTAAATACACGTATTTATCACTCTATTATAAACAGATTATAAATGTTCTAATACATACATCACTAGAATAAAACTCTATAAAATAATCTCTACCAATACAAAAAGTGGACAGACCAATGCACCTCTTAAAAAAATGTTATATATGCAAAAATAAAAAACCCAGTAAATGTTACACTGTATATACAAAAATGTATATCAAACGTCTGGTATAAATCACGGTAAAGCTCTATAAACAGTGTATTAGTTCTGCCATGCAAGTGTTATAATATCTAATCTTTAAATGTCTGTTAAATATTTTCAAACATCAAGTCTTTGTATTTCCTTTCTGCAACCGTTTTTTCTCAGTATCACTCCTTACTTCATCCACGTGTATGCTTAAAACCTGTCTACCTTATAGAATAGTATGTGACCAAAGGGATATTGATTCATGCTAGGATAAGATGATTTATTTGTTCCTCATATTGACAAAATTTGGGGCGTTCCAAAGAAAATGTCACAAACAAAACCTCAGAATAAAGTTTGTTGAAATCAGCCTAATTGGGGAGGTAAACACTACTATTCGCGGAAGGGTGTTAGCCGTCCCCCAATGTCAACACTCAGACGGGTACTTAGTGTCCAAAGGTACCTGTTATAGTTTGAAAATAGAAAACCGAGGACAATGATTTTACAAAACCAACTACTTATTTGTTGGAGTATGTTTTAAAAGAATACGGAGCTGTGTTAGTGTCGGACAATGCCACTGGTCTACTGAATAATCACTCGGACTAGACAGCGATTCACACACCTGTGACGAAATATGTTTAATATGTTTTTTCTAGTACAGATAAAGTTTAAAGAATGAAATAGAAATTGTTAAAACACACATTTGTTACTTTGCAATCGAACAACAATAAGGTTTGAAGGGATGTGTCTCCTTTTTACTGTTTTACTGTAAATATTACGATGTAAATTCATGTAGCTATTACGTGTTTTGTTTTTGTAAGTACTGATTCTGACTATGTTTTGTTATAAATTATTACTGGTGCATTGGGTTTTTTTCGTGCTGTTTTTCACTGATTTGTTAATGAAGCAGTTTTCAGTGTTAATTTTGAGTATTGTATAATAGAAATATTATAGTTTTAAGTATTTTACAATAGAAATATCAAAGTTTTGAGCATTGTATAATAGAAATATCAAAGTTTTGAGTATTTTACAATAGAAATATCAAAGTTTTTAGTATTTTACAATAGAAATATCATAGTTTTGAGTATTTTATAATAGAAATATCTATTCGTTTTTGACGCTAAATTATATATTGCACATTGTATAAATACATAGATATTCTACATACGGATGACTCACTATATAAGCATGCTTATCGTTCCCTTAAATATTGGAACACATATTCATTCATTACAATAAACGCATGCTTATCGTTCCCTTTAACATTAGAACACACATTTATTCATTCATTACAATAAACGCATGCTTATCGTTCCCTTAAATATTAGAACACACATTCCTTCATTACAATAAACGCATGCTTATCATTCCCTTAAATTTTAGAATACACATTCATTCATTACAATAAACGCATGCTTATCATTCCCTTAAATATTAGAACACACATTCATTCATTACCGTAATTGTGTGCTTATCATTCCCTTAAATATTGATAGATACAAGATGATGATTTGCTATGTAACATATATATCACACAGGTATACCTTAGTCAGTGGACTCCAAGTGCAGACATTAATGATATTTACACTTTTACAAGGTGAAGATAATTGCAATTTCAAAGCTTGTTTTGATCGATTCATTTTCCATTTGATATCAAGAGCGTTATACTACAAAAACCCACAAAAAACGTCATTTATCCAGCGATTTTAGACTTCGTTCATGTAACGGACTTCTCCTATTCAAAGACAGGATTTGCAAGGTTTGTGACAAAGGAAACCAAATTGCAAAAGTAAAACAAAGTCATCAAATATTTATCAAAGGTTGTAAATATGTTTATTCCGAACCTCTCCGATCTTTTTACATTCCCTTTTTTTTCAGGTTCTGGACAAATTGCCACTGGTACCGCTGTGTATGATATGTCTGTGTTTTTGTAAAGTGGGCTTGTAATTATATATAACTTAGTTGTCAACTAGTCAATATTTATTGCGAAGGTCATCCACTATTTGAATCAATTGCGTTGAATTCATTTTCAATGTGACAATAAACAATTTATATAAAATAATGATAATAACAGCAATATATAGCGCCCTACATAATTTGTAAAATAACTTTAAAGCGCTTTACAACATATGGATAATAGTATTAGTTAGAATTGTGAAACAAAAATGGCTTACAATCACCATTATACATTAAGCAAGAAGATAATCATCGCAATGTGCACAGAAATGAATAAATAAAGGATGGTAAAATTATAATTTATTTAGACTACTGAAATAGGAAGTACCGTTATATCGATGTTAATAGGCGCAATGCTTTGAACTACTGTTAATGTACCGCCATAGCTACAATATTCTAGCCTAATTGTGTAGGATTGATATACAAATGTTCTTATTGATCCTGCATCCTTAAATACGGTTTAGATTTTATTACATAACACCGCCCACTGTTTAAAGCAAACAGTCGCTTCTAATTACCGCTTATTAAGTTACAAATAATAACGATCAAGAAATAAAGAAAAAAACCAGATCGATTGTCGGAATTCCTTTCATATTCGATTTGTTTATTGTACAGTTACCTGTTAAAACTGACCCTTTCAGTAGTCTTATTGATAAGCTTGAAATCGAAGTTTATTCGATTATTTTTCTAAGAAAATAATTGAGGAATAAAAACATTATATAATAGCCTTATAAGTGATTGTGCGTTTTCTTTTCTTGTGGTAAATATTTAATTTCTGCGTAGTATGTAGACTGAAGATTAACTTAGGCATGTGGTGCTTATAGATCTTCTCTCACAGAGGACCTCATCAGTATGTTATATCTCGTTTTCTTTATTTCATTAAACCCCCAGTATACCAGTATTTACATTCTTATTGAAGCAAAGGAAGCAAATGTAAAATAACGATACTGGTGACGAAATGACTCCAAAATTGGATACTTAAGCGGATTTCAGTACAAGTTGTAACTCCTTCGTTTGGATATAAGGGATAATGCATACACTATTGAAAAAGTAATTGTTCATTTCTGATCATAATTCGCCTATCGTAAGACTCGAATTTTCTTTTGTATTTTGGTCAAATAGGTTAAACATAGGTCCGAGTTAGTCATACTGTTGGTTTACACAACTGTGTAAGTTACACTTAGTTTATACAACAGTGTAGAACTGGTTACAATATAGTTAAACAACAGTGTAGAACTGGTTACAATATAGTTTATACAACAGTGTAGAACTGGTTACAATATAGGTAAGATATTTGTACAAAATTGGAGTGCTAATTCTAAAATAGTAATATAGTTTATACAACAGTGTAGAACTGGTTACAATATAGTTAAGATATTTGTACAAAATTGGAGTGCTAATTCTAATGTAGTAATATAGTTAAACAACAGTGTAGAACTGGTTACAATATAGTTAAGATATTTGTACAAAATTGGAGTGCTAATTCTAAAATAGTAATATAGTTTATACAACAGTGTAGAACTGGTTACAATATAGGTAAGATATTTGTACAAAATTGGAGTGCTAATTCTAATGTAGTAATATAGTTAAACAACAGTGTAGAACTGATTACAATATAGTTAAGATATTTGTACAAAATTGGAGTGCTAATTCTAAAGTAGTAATATAATTTATACCACAGTGTAGAACTGGTTACAATATAGGTAAGATATTTGTACAAAATTGGAGTGCTAATTCTAAAGTAGTAATATAGTTTATACAACAGTGTAGAACTGGTTACAATATAGGTAAGATGTTTGTACAAAATTGGAGTGCTAATTCTAATTTAGTAATATAGTTTATACAACAGTGCTGAGCTGATAGCAATGAAGAGAGTTGATATATATATAATACTACTACATTGGGTTAAAAGTTAATTAAAATGATACTACAACATTGGGTTAAAAGTTAATTAAAAATAATACTGCAACATTGGGTTAAAAGTTAATCAAAATAATACTGCAACATTGGGTTTAAAGTTAATTAAAATAATACTGCAACATTGGGTTAAAAGTTAATTAAAATAATACAACTACATTGGGTTAAAAGTTAATTAAAATAATACTGCAACCTTGGGTTAAAAGTTAATTAAAATAATACTGCAATATTGGGTTAAAAGTTAATTAAAATAATACTGCAACATTGGGTTAAAAGTTAATTAAAATAATACTGCAACATTGGGTTAAAAGTTAATTAAAATAATACTGTAACATTGGGTTAAAAGTTAATTAAATAAAACTGCAACATTGGGTTAAAAGTGATATAATACCATACTTCTACATTGGGTTAAAAGTGATATAATACCATACTACTACATTGGGTTAAAAGTGTTATAATACCATACTTCTTCATTGGGTTAAAAGTGATATAATACCATACTTCTAGATTAGGTTAAAAGTGATATAGTACTACTGCGTCAGTTGAAAGTTATTATAATAGAGCTAGTGTACTTACATAGTTCGTACATCAATGCATAGTAAGTTATATTATCATATAGAAGTGCTGAGTTAGGTAATAAGTGCATGTGATAAAGTTGATAAGTCAAGCAGTTTATAAAGTGGGTTGAGTTATTTAGATAATCTTACAAAACTGCTCTGTCAGTTAAATAATTCATACAGTAAAGCGGAAATAGTTGAATATTTCGACATATACTTGCATTATATTGATATCAATTATATAATTTATAAATAAACTGCCTCTTATTGGCAGGGAGAACTTTATCAGAGTATGAAATGATATGTCATGATCACCGGATTTTCCATAACCCGGTGATAATTAAATTCTAAATAAATAAATGAAAATTGTTGTAATCGAATTCCTCTTAATATCATCAAATAATAATTAACTTTTTTACTCGGGACTATCCTATGATATTGACCATAGAAAAGCTTTTTTCAATATTTTTTTCTCGGTCAATATCTTTTTTCTTTGCTCGATATCAAAACATATAAAAGCAAATTATTTTGGTGAATCGTTACTTCACAGAAAAGAATGTTTAAAAGACAAATTTATGTTATCGTAGTGATTTCAAAAAAAATGTTTCGTTGTTTGATCTTTGAAGTTAAGATAAAATCATAAAGTTCTATGTTACTTCTTTTTCTTTACAGATATATCTCCGGGGGGAAATGAGCGTCATTTGACAGCCAGTATGACGTCATATGATACAGATGCGTGCTCTGGTGACGATAAGGGATTGCCACGTGCTGTTATTTCACCCTTAAAGATACCGTGTCCCTCTACAGCTAAATGTATGGTTGAATTAACAGACCAGGAAAGGAACGACTTCAGCCCCGACAACAATGACTCAAAAAGCATCACTTCGGCTTCCGATGACGTCACAAGCGCGGACTGCGTAGAACCTGAACCCATGATGCATGCCTATGGTATGCTAGGGGATCTCAGCAATCGTAACAACTATCATGGCGGACGCGTGCCTTCCGGTATGGACGATCGCGACATAGAGGATTATGGGAAAAGAAAGCAAAGACGATACAGAACAACCTTCACAAGTTTCCAGTTGGAGGAGCTGGAGAGAGCCTTCCAGAAGACTCACTACCCGGACGTGTTTATGAGGTACATCTCTATAAAGCTTTTGTACATATCTTGTATAGTTCAAATCTGTATTGGAATTTAACCTCTGCAAAATTATTTTTTTCTTCATTATATTTTCAAATATTACATTATTTGAACGAAAATATCATAAATTTGAAATGAACACGCATGCTTGGCAAATAACGATGAATAAATGAGGTGATGCAATTCTAAAAAAAATAATTTTCAATTTGAACCATGATTAATCTAAAACTTCTCTAACTGTTACTTGGTTTATGTATTTGCTCGATCTAACTCTGATTTTAGAATTGTACAATAATAAAATTCTTAACGTGTTATCAAACTTCTTACATATTTTAATGTCAGATTGCTTTGTTATAGAGAGGAGCTTGCGATGAGGATAGACCTAACGGAGGCTAGAGTACAGGTGAGTTTCATAAATTACAGATCACGTGACTGAAACTACACGTACCACATGGAAAAATAAAAATACAATTTTCTTTCTGGTTTTGAACATAAATACATTGCAAAAACCAAAACTTCTTCTTTTACAATATCACAATAAATAAATAAAAATTAATCAAGATTTGTAAATAGTCTATGGTATATATATTTTATAATCAACTCAGAATTTCCGTTCGCAAATTTAACTTTAGCTGGGTTGCAGTGACCCTTCTGATCAAATAGATAGCGAAGTTTATCGTGCAGTTGGGCCGTAATCTTCGACTACTGTCAAGTCTCCTTAATTTTAAAAGCAATCTGACAATTTTCTGATATTCGATAGCTCGTCTCGTTTGTTTGAGCGGTCGCATCACCGACTCGAGTAGCGGGATCGGGCCGTGTACACAGGCCGACAGTGCGATCAGCCCAATATTTAATCAGACACGTAGGAATCAATAAAAACGGGTATAGAACACACTGCCCGGATCGCCATTATAAACACTCGTGGAAAATTGCTCGCTCCTTCAACTCCTTGAAGGATACTCGAAAAAATTAGATATTTATCAATGGTAACTAATTGGGTTTAATTGGGGTTTTATAAAATCGGGAGGAATACATTGAAGCGAAATGGATACCGCTGTGCAAACATGTCACAAACTACTTTAAATATGCTAATGAGTAATATAACCGAACGTTCTCGTCAATTTAAAAATGACTTGATGATTTGGTCAAATTCAAACGCAAACATTTGTTTTTCATAAGAATAGAAAAATTGAATAAAATTTAGCACAAGTACGTGTAGATTCGTGTGTGTCCTCTCGAACCAGCCGGGTATACAATCAGTGGTAAACGGTAACGGGTTTTATTACAGAGTGTGATTTAAAGAATTTGAAGAAATTTCAAAAATAGATTCCCTCCTCCCTGCAAATACTAGAAAAGTATACGACAAACATTTCAGAGTGCTAATTAAATAGAATTGTAAACGGGTTCACATCAATCAAATAATGATGAGGTAACAAGACCACATGGCTAATAACATTGGTCGTGTTCCCAAGCTGGCTGACCTCTTTTGAAACACAAACACTTTTTTTAGTAGTCACACTTATATAGCATGATTAAATACTAATGTTTTACTTTATATTTTTACTGTGAAAGTTGTCATTTCAAAGTGTGGGAATGTTCGCACGGTCACTTTAAAAACTGACGTTTGGTGTATACATTTTCACATTGGCAACGGTTTGAAATCCTAATTATGTATAATCTGTGAACAAATATTCGCGTGTTGATATTGTCGCACTAATTCTACTCAACGCGAAAACCGCAAGCATTTCCAAACCGCGAAAATTACCCTTTTTACAGCACGATTTTTATGATAAGGTTTATGTTCATTCAATAATACGTTATTTATAAATTATAAATCAATCGATTTGCACTTGATAATTGAAAATAGTTTAAGGCTGCCTCAGTTATAAATCATTTGAATATTTGTTTTAATTTCTAATGTTCTTTGCAGGTTTGGTTTCAAAACAGACGAGCAAAATGGCGAAAGAAGGAGAAAGTCGGCCCTCAAGGTCATCCGTTTAGTCCATACGGGGGCTATACCAATCCCCCGACATTGTCGCCCCGAACTCTTATCTCACCACAACAGAGCTACACCGAGTTACTTATGAGGGCGTATGAATCCCAACTCTACCATAGAAACGACAGCCAATTCTCATACCCAGCCAGTGCGCGTAACATCTGCGCTGGGCCGACTTTGTCACCTCCCGGACTATATAATGTAGCCTTCCGCGGTGTAATGTATCCCAACATAAAAACTACTCCAATTCATCCGCCCGCCATTTCATTCCAACAGATGTTCGCTCAAATGAACTCCCAGAATTCCAAAGCTCGTGACACTATTACACTTCCGGTAGAACACAATATCATGGATGGTGATCAGAGAACATCGAGTATTGTGGCATTACGGAAGAAAGCACGTGAGCACGAGGTCAGAATTGGTGTAGAAGGCCAAGGTAGTGCATCATAGAAACAAATTTTGATACATTGTTTACTGGACTAAATTGATTCCGGACTTAATATTTACCGGTCCTTGGTTTTTTCTTCTTATTTACATTTTTATGGAGTGGCTGTGATTTGGACAATCGGTATCGGAATACATCTACTTTTTCTATTGGGTGTGTACATCAATACGCAGCAACATGTTTTCTGTTTTTTTTACAAACGAGATGTATACATCAAAGTCTTACGAAGACGAAAGAGTAAATGGATGTGAACGAATGAGAAAATCTTTGTTCAGGATATCAGAAAGCTCATATCGATAGTAATCGTTTGACTAGTTTGACGACGTCGCTACCAAACATATTCTCGTTTTAGCCATTTTAATCAATTATTGTGCCATTTTGTTATTTATTTACATATTGTAATTTATAGAAACTTGTTGAGAACATTTTCATTTATTAACACTTGTTTACAAAACAGAGCGTCACTTTGACACGGTGTTAAGGGTATTTCATATACCAGAACTCTAAGTACCGGTGTAAAGTCAGAAACCACACCTCGATATGTTATCTCTTTTTGTGATATTTAATTACAAAATCATTCTGAAATCAGTGCAATAAATCAAAACTTTTAACGAGATTACATGATAAAATAAGTTTTAATTAAACTATTAATTTTGAGGAGTGTCACGACTTAATGGATTTCTGAATAAATTTCACATTTATATCAAAATAAACGTGTGTCCTTATTTATCAAGTTGATATACATCAATGACTGTTAAGTAATGTGACAATTATGATTATAAAAAAGGAATTTGTTACAATACAAAGACAACACCACAGTAGACTGACAATATCACAACACAAAGTCTACATCATTACACACTGACAACATCACAACACAAAGTCTACATCATAACAGACTGACAACAGCACAACACAGAGTCTTCATCATTACAGACTGACAACATCACAATACAAAGGCTACATCATAACAGACTGACAACATCACAACACAGAGTCTTCATCATTACAGTCTGACAACATCACAACACAAAGTCTACATCATTACAGACTGACAACATCACAATACAAAGTCTACATCATAACAGACTGACAACATCACAACACAGAGTCTTCATCATTACAGACTGACAACATCACAACACAAAGTCTACATCATTACACACTGACAACATCACAACACAAAGTCTACATTATTACAGACTGGCAACATCCCAACACAAAGTCTACATCATAACAGACTGACAACATCACAACACAAAGTCTACATCAAAACACTGACAACATCACAACACAAAGTCTACATCATTTCACACTGACAACATCACAACACAAAGTCTACATCATAACAGACTGACAACATCACAACACACAGTCTTCATCATAACAGACTGACAACATCACAACACAAAGTCTAAATCATTACACACTGACTACATCACAACACAAAGTCTACAGCATTACAGTATGACAACATCACAACACAAAGTCTACATCATTACAGACTGACAACATCACAACAGAAAGTCTACATCATTACAGTATGCCAACATCACAACACAAAGTCTACATTAGTACAGACTGACAACATCACAACACAAAGTCTACATCATTACAGTATGCCAACATCACAACACAAAGTCTACATTAGTACAGACTGGCAACATCACAACACAAAGTCTACATCATAACAGACTGACAACTTCACAACACAAAGTCTAAATCATAACACTGACAACTTCACAACACAAAGTCTAAATCATAACACTGACAACATCACAACACAAAGTCTACATCATTACACACTGACAACATCACAACACAAAGTCTACAGTATGACAACATCACAACACAAAGTCTACAAAATTACAGACTGACAACATCACAACACAAAGTCTTCATCATTAAAACCTGACAACATCATAACACAAAGTCTACATCATTTCAGACTGACAACAACACAACACAAAGTCTACATCATTACACACTGACAACATCACAACACAAGGTCTACATCATTACAGTTTGACAACATCACAACACAAAGTCTACATCATTACAGTATGACAACATCACAACACAAAGTCTACAAAATTACAGACTGAAAACATCACAACACAAAGTCTACATCATTACAGACTGACAATATCACAACACAAAGTCTACATCATTACACACTGACAACATCACAACACAAGGGCTACATCATTACAGTTTGACAACATCACAAGACAAAGTCTACATCATTACAGTATGACAACATCACAACACAAAGTCTATATCATTACACACTGACAACATCGCAACACAAAGTCTACATCATTAAAGACTGACAACATCACAACACAAAGGCTACATCATTACAGACAACATCACAACAAAAAGTCTACATAATTACACACTGACAACATTGCAACACAAAGTCTACATTACTAAACACAGTCTACATCATTACTGACTGACAACATTACAACACAAAGTCTATCTCATTACACACTGACAACATTACAAAACAAAGTCTCCATCATTACACACTGACAACTTCACAACACAAAGTCGACATCATTACAGTATGACAACATCACAACACAAAGTCTACATCATAACAGACTAACAACATCACAACACAAAGTCTACATCATTACAGATTGACAACATCACAACACAAAGTCTACATTACTAAAGACTGACAACATCACAACAAAAGTCTACATCATAACAGACTGACAACATCACAACACAAAGTCTACATTACTAAAGACTGACAACATCACAACAAAAGTCTACATCATAACAGACTGACAACATCACAACACAAAGTCTACATCATAACAGAATGACAACATCACAACACAATGTCTACATCATTACACACTGACAACATCACAACACAAAGTCTACATCATTACAGACTGACAACATCACAACACAAAGTCTACATTACTACAGACTGACAACATCACAACACAAAGTCTACATTACTTCAGACTGACAACATCATATAACAAAGTCTACATCATAACTGACTGACAACATCACAACACAAAGTCAACATCATAACAGACAGACAACATCACAACACACAGTCTTCATCATTCAGACTGACAACATCACAACACAAAGTCTACATCATTACAGACTGACAACATCACAACACAAAGTCTACATCATTACAGTATGACAACAACACAACACAAAGTCAACATCATTACACACTGACAACATCACAACACAAAGTCTACATCATTACAGACTGACAACATCACAACACAAAGTCTACATCATAACAGATTGACAACATTAAAAAAATTATCGTTTTGATACATATGTATACTTATCTTAATAAATCAAATCAATTAAAATCAAATCAACAGATATGGAGACGAACCATATACACATTATGTTTATCAGGTTAAATTCACTAATAAAACTATGAAAATAATAATTTTCCTTATTTTATATTTGCTTGATGAAATTCTTAGTTTAGATTAGCTTTGTAGTTTTTACTTTACATGATCTATTTAAACATATCAGAAACCCCGTTGACAGTGCCTTCGATGATGAAAATGCATTATTTTTCTCCTGTATTCAGCTTTCGAAGATTTGAATGAGTTTTCGTCTATTTATATATATACCTGTTGTTTTCAGTGGAATTCTTCCTTTGCTTAGCTTCTACCATTATGTAACACAGAGTGTATGTGAGCAACTCTCTTTCCGTTCTCCTTCCCTCTAACCATCCACTATATTCTGTTCTCCTTCCCCCTAACCATCCACTATATTCCGTTCTCCTTCCCCCTAACCATCCACTATTTTCCGTTCTCCTTCCCTCTAACCATCCACTATTTTCCGTTCTCCTTCCCCCTAACCATCCACTATTTTCCGTTCTCCTTCCCCCTAACCATCCACTATTTTCCGTTCTCCTTCCCCCTAACCATCCACTATTTTCCGTTCTCCTTCCCCCTAACCATCCACTATTTTCCGTTCTCCTTCCCCCTAACCATCCACTATTTTCCGTTCTCCTTCCCCCTAACCATCCACTATTTTCCGTTCTCCTTCCCCCTAACCATCCACTATTTTCCGTTCTCCTTCCCCCTAACCATCCACTATTTTCCGTTCTCCTTCCCCCTAACCATCCACTATTTTCCGTTCTCCTTCCCCCTAACCATCCACTATTTTCCGTTCTCCTTCCCCCTAACCATCCACTATTTTCCGTTCTCCTTCCCCTTCCCCCTAACCATCCACTATTTTCCGTTCTCCTTCCCTCTAACCATCCACTATATTCCGTTCTCCTTCCCTCTAACCATCCACTATATTCCGTTCTCCTTCCCCCTAACCATCCACTATATTCCGTTCTCCTTCCCTCTAACCATCCACTATATTCCGTTCTCCTTCCCCCTAACCATCCACTATATTCCGTTCTCCTTCCCCCTAACCATCCACTATATTCCGTTCTCCTTCCCCCTAACCATCCACTATATTCCGTTCTCCTTCCCTCTAACCATCCACTATATTCCGTTCTCCTTCCCCCTAACCATCCACTATATTCCGTTCTCCTTCCCCCTAACCATCCACTATATTCCGTTCTCCTTCCCCCTAACCATCCACTATATTCCGTTCTCCTTCCCCCTAACCATCCACTATATTCCGTTCTCCTTCCCCCTAACCATCCACTATTTTCCGTTCTCCTTCCCTCTAACCATCCACTATATTCCGTTCTCCTTCCCCCTAACCATCCACTATATTCCGTTCTCCTTCCCTCTAACCATCCACTATATTCCGTTCTCCTTCCCCCTAACCATCCACTATATTCCGTTCTCCTTCCCTCTAACCATCCACTATATTCCGTTCTCCTTCCCCCTAACCATCCACTATATTCCGTTCTCCTTCCCTCTAACCATCCACTATATTCCGTTCTCCTTCCCCCTAACCATCCACTATATTCCGTTCTCCTTCCCCCTAACCATCCACTATATTCCGTTCTCCTTCCCTCTAACCATCCACTATATTCCGTTCTCCTTCCCCCTAACCATCCACTATATTCCGTTCTCCTTCCCCCTAACCATCCACTATATTCCGTTCTCCTTCCCCCTAACCATCCACTATATTCCGTTCTCCTTCCCCCTAACCATCCACTATATTCCGTTCTCCTTCCCCCTAACCATCCACTATTTTCCGTTCTCCTTCCCTCTAACCATCCACTATATTCCGTTCTCCTTCCCCCTAACCATCCACTATATTCCGTTCTCCTTCCCTCTAACCATCCACTATATTCCGTTCTCCTTCCCCCTAACCATCCACTATATTCCGTTCTCCTTCCCTCTAACCATCCACTATATTCCGTTCTCCTTCCCCCTAACCATCCACTATATTCCGTTCTCCTTCCCTCTAACCATCCACTATATTCCGTTCTCCTTCCCCCTAACCATCCACTATTTTCCGTTCTCCTTCCCCCTAACCATCCACTATATTCCGTTCTCCTTCCCTCTAACCATCCACTATATTCCGTTCTCCTTCCCTCTAACCATCCACTATATTCCGTTCTCCTTCCCCCTAACCATCCACTATATTCCGTTCTCCTTCCCCCTAACCATCCACTATTTTCCGTTCTCCTTCCCCCTAACCATCCACTATTTTCCGTTCTCCTTCCCTCTAACCATCCACTAT